ATGATAAGCAGCACAAGCTGGTCACAACAGACAACTATGGTTCAGTTCTGAAAATGAGAGGCAGCTGGAGGAGTTGAACTCATAGAGACAGAAAGCAGAACAGTGACTTCCAGGGCTCTAGCTGGTATGTCCAACCTTTTGACACTGTAACGAGACACTGTTATCTGCAAAATAAATTGTAAAATAAATTTAGGTGAATGTACAATGTTGTGTTGGGTCACATTCATAGCTATCCTTGGTCAGAGGCTGCCCATGAGCCAAAGGTTGGGCAGGCCTGGATGGGGAGGGCAAATGAGCAGCTACCATGTAATGAGTATGAAGTTTCCATTTTGAAAGTTCCAGAAAGTGCACGGTGATGGTGGAAGTCTAGGAATACAGTTACACTGTTGAAGCCTACCCTTAAAATGGTTAGGACAGTAAACTTTAAAATTAACTAGAAATCATTTACAATTTAACCAAAAAGTTAGAAACCTTCAATTTTAGATGGTGACTCTGTTGAGGAATATTCCTTTACACTGTGTGAAGATGTGTCACTGTGATTGGTTTAATAAAGAGCTGAAGGGCCATTAGCTAGGCAAGAAGAGGTTAAAATGGGGACAGAGAGCTCTGGGAAGAAGAAAGAAAGAGTAGCCAGTGGAGGCAGAGGGAACAGACATTCAGGAGGAGAGGTAAAAGCCACGAATCATGTAGCCACACGTAAATGAATAGAAATGGGTTAATTTAAGATATAAGCGCTAATGAGACAAGCCTAAGCTATAGGCCAAGTTTTCATAATTAATAATAAGTCTCTATGTCATTTTTTTTGTGAGCTGGCTCAGCACAGAGAAAAGTCCGTCTACATGACTCCCAGCAGCACTCGATGTTGGACTCATTTACACTTCCATATCTAAATCATGTCGCTTGATCCTGAAGATGGCCTTGTGAAGGCGGAAGCTTAGCCATGGTTGTGATCTTCACTTTAAGTTCAGGGAATGTGAAACTCAGTTGTTTTCGTTAAATGGCCCTGTTTCTGCTCCCAGACCTGGTTAACAGTGGTGGAACTGAGTTAATAAACAATTTTGTGCTTTTCTAGGTATCACTTTCAACTTCCAAGAAAAAGCATTAGGAAACTAATTATGAGACTGGCTGCTAACCCTTGAGGAGTGGGAGTGGAGAAGATGGGTTGGTCCCGGAAGTATGCAATGGCTAACATCATGCACAGGTCCAACCGTGATTGGGAGGTTACTCATCCCACTGAAGAGACAATGTGCATAGGACTTGGAGGATCTTTGAGCCAAGAATATACTATGAGTCAGGTAAGACTGCAGAAATAAGGTCAGCCCTGAAGAATAAAAGGAGGCACCGGATTGTGAGTCATTACCCCTTTCTTTATAAACAGCTAGAAGAGCAACATAGAATTTTTGTCTGTCTGAGATCACCTGATTTGTGGTTTTTCTCTCACTGAAGGGAGAGATGCTTTACAATGGCATTCTCTCTTTCTGGTGGAATAATATGATGCATGAGATTATTGTAAAAAGAAAGACAAGTGAGCGTGTGTGGGAAATGAGTAGGTATATGGGTGAAGCAAGATTGACCCTGAGTGATAATTACCAAAGTTGGCTGCTGTGTACACTGAGACTCAGCATACTTACTCTCTTCTCTCTACAGAGTTAAAAATACCAACTCTCTATGGACAGTCTAGAGAGGTAGATGCCATATTCATCCCCAGAAGCAGTTTACTAAGTAAACGCTTTCCCTGAAATCTATAGTCTGTTAAAGATGCACTTCATCTAACAATTTAAAGAGACCCTTTCAACCATTTAAACCTGTATTAGACTTAATTCTTTCTTTTTTATCCAACTGTTAATAAGTGGTCACATTACAATTCCATGGGAAATACTTTTGTAAGTTTGTTTTAAAAGATCCCGTAAGATCGCTGGGCTGTGGAGGTTCACGTCTTTAATCCCAGCACTTGGGAGGCAGAGGCAAGTGGATCTCTGAATTGAAGACCTGGCTGGTCTACAGAGCGAGTTCCAGGACAGCCTGGGCTACAGAGGAACAAAAGGTCATGTAGGGCTGGCGAATGGTTAGGTAGGTAAAAAGGTTTGCTGTGCAAGCCTGGTGCGTTGACTGCAATCCTTGCAACGCAATGTTGGAAGAAGAGATCAGCTCCCCAAAACTGACCTCTGACTTCTACATGCATTCCATGGTGTGTGTGTATTGTATGTGTGTGTCCAATGGAGTAGTGGGCTGAGGATGTACTCCTTCTTGGCTCTTTTCCTGGCACATATGAAGCTTTGGATTCATGCATGAGACCTTGGGCTCAGTCCCCAGCCCTACAAAAATAAATAAATAAATAGTAAAACATATCCTGGGTAACTGACTGTTCATCAGCAAGAACAAGAACCAAGAACAGTCTCCTTCCCTTTTTGCCACAAATGGCTTTTCAGAATTGAAGACTTATTTTTCCTGGACTGTGGAGGAGAAACAAGGAAACCATGTGCAGCCTCTGAGTCATGGTAATACAAACCATGCAGGCATCTTAGACCAGTTCCAGGTTCTGGGCTACATGCACTCAACAGAAATAGCTGGAATCTGGTGATCGTGGGCATGGTCAAGGGCGTCAAACATGTAGGTTTGAAGCTGTTTGTCTAGCTGTGCGACTGTCTTCAAGTTTCCTAACCTCTTTTACTTGTATCTTCATCTTGAAAATAGGAACACGTTTGTGGGGGTTTTCGTTTTGTTTTCATTTTTTGGAGACAGGATCTCACATAGGTCTTGCTGGCCTCACACTACCTTTTAAGATGACCTTGAAATTCTGATCCTGTTGCCTTTACCTCGTGAGTAATGGGGTTACTAAATTTGAGGCACGTACTACTTAGAACTCACAATGTAGAACAGGCTGGCCTTGAACTCACAGAGATCCTACTGTCTCTGCCTTCCAAGTGCTGGGATTAAAGGTGTGTGCCACCAGATCAGACAAGTGATTCTTCTATTTGTTCTCTCTTTTTTTTTTTTTTTTGGTTTTTTCGAGACAGGGTTTCTCCGTGTAGCTTTGCGCCTCTCCTGGAACTCACTTGGTAGCCCAGGCTGGCCTCGAACTCACAGAGATCCACCTGGCTCTGCCTCCCGAGTGCTGGGATTAAAGGCGTGCGCCACCACCGCCCGGCTCTATTTGTTCTCTTAATAAAACAAACTTCTGAGGATTTCTCTGAATGTTCAATCTAACCATTTATGTACAATAAAATAGCCTCTATAATCAATAAAAAGAAGAAAATGATACTGTCTGGCTTATATCATTAGAGAGAAGTTGTTTTGTTAGAAGCCAAGGAAGTTATATTAAATTATTTAACATTTATAAAAGGTAACCACTGTAGGAAAAAATAGTTACTGTTTGCTTTAGGCAGTATTGGTTAATTTTTGAGTTGTAAATGAGTTACCTTTGTAGCTTGGTTTTTCTTTAAGGAAGAGTTAACTGGTAGTCACTGAACATATTTTAACTGAGAGTGGTAAGGCAGAAGGGACAGAAAGGAAACCCACAGCCGTTGACAGCTGCGGCGAGTTACCTGGGCTGTGGGTAGAACTCAGAGAGCTGCTACTGCTTGCCGCCAACTGGAGTTCACCCTGGTGCCTCAGAGAAGACTGTCATTCAGCCCCCTGGTTCCAAGCACAGCAAGACAAGAGTGATAGAACACAGCACAATTCCACGCTCCCTACGCTCTTCTAATGACCACATTGGAGGGAGCTCATGCGTGCAAGGGAAAGAGTCGTTCTATTGGGTATCCCACAGAAGGGACGGGGTGTAATGGTGCTTTGTCAACACAGAAGCCTTGCAGCTGGCAAATGGTTTGCAGGGAAGAGGATGGCGTTTCCTTAGTTTTTTCCTCTTTTGTTCCTGACTCAAAACCAATAAAAATTTACTGGACTAAGAATCATGATTTATGTAAAATTCAAGATTTTCTGTAGAAAGAGAAGAATGTTCTGAACAGCTCACACTGGCAGGAAAGGAACAGCATGTTTAAGTGTCAAGTAAGAGATGTCCTTCCTCTAAATCATGAAAATAGTTTCTCAGTATTCTTGCAGAGGGAAAACATGCTTATAAATGAGTCAAATTTCACTATATTGAATACAAAAATGTAAACAGCAATGGAGGATGTGAAATAAAAGGAGAAGCAGAAGGCTGGAAGATGACTTTTCCAGAGGTCTTGAGTTCAATTCCCAGCAACCACATGGCGGCTCATAACCATCTGATCTGAATGCCCTCTTCTGGCATGCAAGCATGCATACAGATAGAACACTGTATATACAAGAAATAAATAATTAAGTAAATCTTTTTTTTAAAGGAGAAGCAGAGAGAGAGAGAGAGAGAGAGAGAGAGAGAGAGAGAGAGAGAGAGAGAGAGAGAGAGAGGAAGAGGAGAGAGGCAAATCCTGTTAACTTTGAAAATGCTCTTTCCATATGTTTCTAAAACTCAAATGGATATGTTTTTTCCCTGACACCAGGCAGCACATACCTGTCTCCTTTTTTATTCATGGCTTGTCACAGTTACTATATGTAGGGAACATCATGGTTTTAATGATCAACTAAGTCATTTAATCTGAGAGTCACTCTGAAATTCTGTGTTCAGGTTCTCTTGTGCTACCAAATACACACAACAAACCTGCTCCAGTGTCATGGTAAACATAAGGAGGGACTTAACTTCAGAAAGTGGCTGTTCTTTGATTAGAAAACAAATGATCACTAGATGGAAAGAAGCCAGGCTAGCTCCTGGCATATGAACAGCGTTAGCTGTGGCTTCCCGTCAGTCAAAAGGAATCGGAGCAGAGGGCAGCTGTAACGTAAAGAAACATTGCCCTCGACGGCAAATGGGGAATGCTGTCTTCCTTAAAGCAAGCTTGCATGACTTCACTTTCTGAACAACGTCTGGTCTCAGGCAGATAACAGAAAGGAAACACGAAAGGTGACATTTGGTTTCTCTGACTCTCCGGTAACAGGAAAAACAATGAGAGAAGTGTACTTACCAATGTCACAAACTTCAACTCCTTGGCTTGGCCTGCATCCAGGCAGAGAGAAAGCAGGAACAGGCAGCCAAGGCCAAGGCTTACTGTCCTGGTCAGGTGCAGAGGGACAGTTCTCATGGTGGGAGAGAGCTGCTTCTGGCAGCTGTAGGAGGTGCTGCACTCCCGAAGGCTTCTGGAGGGAAGTGCCTATTTAATCAAGAGATTGACAGGAAGGCGGAGCCACATTCTCCCCTAGTAGGATTTCAAGAAGGGTGGGGCAGGGCTTGGCATGCAAATAATGCCAGGTCATACGTGTGTTCCAGATCCCAGCCTCCTCCACTTCAATTAGGGTTTGGAGGCCCAGAGCGGGCACAGCTGGAACAGCTCAAGGCCTCCACTCCAGTCCAGCCTTCTCCTTTTCAGCTCACCTTTATCTCTTCCACAGCTGGATGGTGATGCTGTGCTGGCTTGGTGGCAGCCCTTTGGGAAGAAATCCTCGCTGCCTCTGGAAGCCTTAGGCTTCAGCTCTCAGTGTTTGAGGAAGCCTCAGCTGCGGGCATGTTTTGACACGACGAGGCTTATTCTCCTGCCAAATGTGGTGTGTGGTTGTAAACTCTTGGGTAGCCAATAAAGGGGTTTTACAGTGGCAGCAAAGTGAGGATAGGGACATGCTGAAGATTTCTCTTCATGCCTTAATGCATTTGGGGTCATTTGTGGCAATGCAAAGTGGGGTTTGGAGGTCCCTTTTAGAAAGAATACACACAAACAATAACAATCAGCTTACAGCTGCCACCTGAGTGCCTAAAAAACTCGTTAGGTCACAGACCAAAAACAAATAGCAAAAAGGAGCTGGCAGCAGGACGATTGGGAGTTGGGGGAGAGTAAGACCAGCCTGGAGGTGAATGCGAACGAAATACATTATGTACATATATGAAAATGTCACAGTGAAATCCATTATGACGTATAACTAACATATGCCGGTAACACACACTAAAACAATGAAACAAACTAACAAGCAAGCAAACAAACAAACAAACAAAACCCAAGAAGCCCACACTGCTCTGCTTTGTTGACAGCCATCAACTTGGGTTATGAACCTTCTGGGGGAGACACACCCTTGACTCTCTAGCCATGACCTCACTGGGACTCTAAGGAGGGAGATGGCATGCAGCGAGGAAACTTGGCTTTCTGCTTTTTCCCACCCTGTCAGTCTCACTGGCTGAAACAACACCTGCTGGTGAGGCATGGCAAGAACCTGCAGGTGAAGTGGGTGGAGCGGAGCGGACTGCTGTGACGTTTCTGCCCCAAGGATCTAGGAAGAACAATAGTTTGCCCACAACATCCTCAGCATTTCATTAAATTTACCAGGACAGCTGGGTGCACCGCCATGTGGTCATAGGAAGCCCTGGAAGGTGGTGTGTGGGAGAGCTGTGGTTCTTCTGGTATGGGGAAGTAAGAATTGGAGTGTGTGTGGTAGGATTATGCATTTAAAGGGATATGTGTTCTTCTCTTTGCCGGTGGTGTTCTCCACCGTTTCAACGCTGAGAAGATGGGTGCAAGGCGAAGAGGATGGAGATGGAGACTGCCCAGCATCATGGTTTGCAATGCCCCCCATAAACCCCTGTGTTTTGACACACAGTTTCCAGCTGGGGTCGCTGTTTTAGAACATTGTGAAACCCTGGGGAGGAGGAGTCTAGCAGTGAGAAATGGGTTACTAGGGGCGAGCCTTAAGGTTTTATAACTGGGTACCAATTCCTGCTCACTCTCTGCCTCCTGTTCTATCAAGATGTAAAGAGTCTTGGCTGTGAATTCCTGCCACAGTGGAGCTGCCTGTCGCAAAGATGGACTGTGGCTCCTTAACATTTAAGCCCAAACAAGCCTTTCCTCTCTCGGGTTACTTCCTGTCAGGTAAATGGTCACAACAAGAAGAAAGAGCAACTGGTACATCCAGACCAGGACAGACATGAGTTGCCATAGCAATCCCTGCCATGTTCCCCTAGTAACAGAAAGGAATCTCCAACAGCTACAGTTCACACAGGCTTAGTCAGCTCCCAACTCTTAACCAGTGCTGGATCCCTGATTCTGCTGAGCATCCGAAGTTCTCAGGTTCCAGCCTCATTTCTCCTTCTGTCTCCTTCCTTGTTCCATGGGTCATGCTGGGAACTATTGTAGTTATGGCCTTTGCCCTTCCTGAAAAGGCTGTGGTTCCATGAGCTACCTGTTGTCTGGACTGTGTAAGCATTTCTGATCCTTGCTTTCTCTGTGGTATACCCGCTGGGTTTTCCTATCCCTCCCAAATGGTAACATTTTAAGAAACATTAAATATTAGCCTTTTTGTCAAAAAACTGCAAAACTTCCATTTACCACAAGGGATACAAATGTGTTTATCTTCCCAACCTTGTAAAACCTTTATGCAAATGTTTAACCTCCCAACCCCAACCTGGTGAGACTTTTGTTTACATAAAGGCCCTACTGCATTCCCACACTTAAGTGCCCCCTCCTGCTTTCCTTCATTTCCTTCGCACAGATTCTTTTAAAATGAGGTGTCCAGGAAGACTGCGAGGTTGGACCCAGCCAATAGGGAGAGTCATCATCTGAGTTAGACTGAAAATCAAACGAACATGTCCCCATGTGCTTGCTTTTGTGAGTACCGTGATCTTCTCACTAGTACACTGTCGCCTGGTCCAGACACTTTCACTGGAGCAGGGTTTCTTTCTTTGTGACCCTGAACGCATTTCTAACAACATCAAGAACAAAGCTTTCTTAAAGGCAGAACCAGGGGAAGACTGCTGGCATAGAAACAGCTCAAACTCAGTTTCTGTTGACTTAAGTAGATGGCTTGTATTCCACTTCCATCTTAGTCATTATTATGTCTTAGACCTTGAGCATCAAGTATAAGGAGAGAAGGATTAAAATTGTACCCGTGGAGGACTGGAGTGGTGGCTCAGTGTTGAGTGTTAGCTGCTCTTTCAGAGGACCTTTGTTCCATTCCCAGCATCCATGTCAGGTGTCCCATAATCATTTGTAACTCCAGCCCCAGAGCATCTGATGCCCTCTTCTGGCTTCCACAAGTATCCCCCCCAACATCATCATCATCATCATCATCATCATCATCATCATCATCATCATTTGGGCTAGAGAGATGGCTCAGTGGTAAAGTACATTTACTGTGTTATCATTCCTAGCCACTTTCCAGCTACATGACTGAGCATGCGCTGTCCAGCAGTCAGGCAAAATGCTTAGTCACTCCAGGGCCTTATGTCCTAGTAATCTGTGCGCCCTGTGGTCACGTAATCTATGCACATATGCGCATGCGCAAGGTGACCTATAAAAGCAGGCTCACCCACTCCCCAATTGTCTCTGCACTTTCATTTCTGGTAGGCCTACTTGCACATCTCCCCTTTCCCTCCCCTAATAAAACTCTTATAGTGGGTTCCATTGTACCTCGTGTTTTCCCTCGCCCGGTAAATAGCACCGCAAATAAATAACATTGGTGCTGTGACAAAACAGGCTCTCTGACGGGATCCTGAACCGAGGTTGGTTCATCCACAACTGCCCACCTTCCATCTGCCCAGCTGCCGAATCACTCCACACAACATCGGCTACTCCAGTTGGTGAGTTTTCCCTTTGCCAGCCAGAGCAAACAGTTCCCTGAACTCAAAGGAACAACTGTCGATCATCCAGCGTCCTCCTGGTGTCCTTGGGACTGGGGGTACACCTATCCACGGTCTTTGTCAGCTACAGTTGGCCCCTATGGCTGGCTATAACCATCAGCCATTCCCCACGACTGTGGTCTGAGATATCGTTTTTGTTTGTTTCTCGTCTCTCAGACCCTCATCCTCGGGCTACTGCCCCAGCCCCCACTCTTTGCTTGAAGGAACACTGAGTGACTGGTGCCATTAATAGATCCTTGCTTGATCTCTGGGATGCCTGAGATATTGTAGTCATTGGATCTTGTTTATTTATTTATTTCTCTTTGCCACAGTGATGGAAAATGAGGCTTCCAATCCTATAAGCCCCACATCTCCTCTGGGATACCTTTTGGAAACCCTCAAACCTCTCAGCCTAATGCCTTACTTAAAGACTTCTAAGCTTATCTGCCTCTGCACTAAAAAATGGCCTAAATATTCCTTAGATAACAATAAAAAAATGGCCACCCAATGGCTCATTAGATCCTGATATTTTACGGAAATTATCTAACTTCTGTCAGCGAACGGGCAAATGGAAAGAGTTACCTTATATCCAGGCCTTTTTCTGTCTCAGCTCCAAACCCGCTCTACTCACCTGCCTGCATGCTCCTAGCTGTACAACCCAAATCTAAGGAACCCCTTACTACTGCTTTAGACCCTGCTAATGAACCCCCTCCTTTCCGACTTGCTGCCTTTCCAACCTCCTGCTCCTTCTTCTCCAGTGACTGTTCCTTTGGCTCCTCCAGCTCCTTCCCCATCTCTGATATCAGGCTGCTCCAACCACCTGACTCTGCCCCCCACCTTTATTCCTCCTGTCACTCATTCTCGAGCTGCTAAGGAATCCCACCCCAGTCAAACCAACCCAGTGGCCATCCTCCCTTTGTGAGAGGTAGCGGTGTGGATGGACTGGTTAAGGTTCATGTCCCTTTCTCACTAGCTGAACTCTCTGAGACTGAAAAAAAGTGGGTTCTTATACTTCTAACTCTACCTCCTTTATTAAGCAATTCCAATATGTTACTCAATCTTATAATCTCACCTTTCATGATATATACATGATCCTTAATGACAACCTACTGCCTGAGGAATGCAGATGAGTTTGGGGACAGGCTAGGATACATGCAGATGAGGTCCCCAGACTAATGCAGCACATACTCCCAGAGCGGAAGCAGTTCCTGACTGGGACCCACAATGGGATTATAATACTCCAGGTGGCACTCTAGCTAGGGATCAGTTCACAACCTGCTTTTTAGCAGGTCTTCATAAGGCTGCCCTCAAACCAGTAAACTATGAAAAGCTTCAAGAGATAGTTCAGGACAAAAAAGAAAACCCATCTCAATTTCCAGAATGACTTACAAAGGCTCTCTTACAATATACTAATCTAGATCCTAAGAGCCCAGAGGGCAGACAGCTCCTTATGACCCATTTCATCTCTCAGAGCTTCCCTGACATTAGGGCCAAACTTAAGCATCTTGAGAGA